ATGGAAAAAACAATCATTAACTTTATATGGAAAAGGAAGAGGCCCCAGATAAGTAAAGCACTATTGAAGAAGAATAAAGTAGGAGGACTCGCATTACCTGACCTCAGAACCTACTATACAGCTACAGTAGTCAAAACAGTCTCGTTCTTTTACAACAACAGAATCAATGGAACACAATCAAGAATCCAGATGTAAATCCATCCACCTATGGTCACCTAATCTTTGACAAAGGCCCAAAGTCCATCAAATGGGGAAAAGACAGTCTTTTTAACAAGTAGTGCTGGTAAAACTGGATGTCCATCTGCAGAAAAAATGAAACAGGACTCATACCTCACAACATACACAAAAACTAATTCAAAATGGATCAAAGACCTAAATATAAAACCAAAAACTATAAAGATCATAGAAAAAAAATAGGAGCAACACTAGAGACCCTAACACAAAGCATTAACAGGATACAAACCATAAATAACAACATACAAACTTCAGAAGATAAGCTAGCTAACTGGGATCTTCTAATAATTATACATTTATGCTCATCAAAAGACTTCACCAAAAGAGTGAAAAGAGAACCTACAGACTGGGGAAAAACATTTGGCTGTTACAAATCTGACAAAGGTCTAATCTCTAAAATCTACAGGAAAATCCAATACCTCTACAACAAAAAGACAAATAATCTAATTTAAAAATGGGCAAAGAAAATGAACAGACACTTCACCAAAGAAGACATTCAAGCAGCTAACAGACACATTAGGAAATACTCAGAATCACTAGCCATTAGGGAAATGCAAATCAAAACCACAATGAGATACCATCTCACCCCGGCATTACTGGCACGAATCAAAAAAACGGAAAATAGCAAATGCTGGAGAGGCTGTGGGGAGATTGAAACTCTTATGCACTCTGGTGGGAATGCAAAATGGTGCAACCATTTTGGAAAGCGATATGGTGCTTCCTTAGAAAGCTACATATAGAAATGCCATATGATCCAGAATTCCCACTCCTAGGAATATATCCTAGAAAATAAGAGCCGTTACATGAATAGACATATGCACATCCATGTTCATTGCAGCATTGTTCACAATAGCAAAAAGATGGAAACAACCTAGATGCCCATCAACAGATGAATGGATAAACAAACTTTGGTACATACACACAACGGAGTACTATGCAACGATAAAGAACAATGATGAATCTGCAAAGCATCTCACAACATGGATGAATCTGGAGGGCATTATGCTGAGTGAAATAAGTCAATCACAAAAGGACAAATACTGTATGAGACCTCTACTATAAAAACTCACGAAAAGGTTCATGCACAAAAAGAAACTATCTTTGATGGTTACAAGGGAGAGGAGGGGTGGGGGTGGAAAAACACTAAATGGACAGTAAATAAGTGGTAACTTTGGTGAAGGGTAAGACAGTACACAATACTGGGGAAGCCAGCACAACTTGTTCAGGGTAAGGTCATGGAAGATCCATGGACAAATCTAAACTCCTTGAGGGACTGAATTACTGGGCTGAAGGCTGTGGGGACCGTCATCTCAGGGAACATCTAGCTCAGCTGGCATAACATGGTTTATAAAGAAAATATTCTACATTCCACTTTGGTGAGTAGCATCTGGGGTCTTAAAAGCCTGTGAGTGGCCATCTAAGATACTTCACTGGTCTCACCTCTTCAAGAGCAAGCGAAAATGAAGAAAACTAAAGACACAAGGGAAAGGTTAGTCCAAAGGACGAATAGATCACAAGTACCATGACCTCCACCAGACTGAGTCCAGTACAACTAGATGGTGCCCGGCTACCATCACTGACTGCTCTGACAGGGATCACAATAGAGGGTCCTGGACAAAGCTGGAGAAAAATGTAGAACAAAATTTTAACTCAAAAAAAAGATAGACTTACTGGCCTGACAGAGACTGGAGAAACCCTGAGAGTATGGCCCCTGGACACCCTTTTAGCTCAGTAATGAAGTCATTCCGGAGTTCGCCTTTTAGCCAAAGATTAGACAGGCCCTTAAGACAAAACAAGACTAAAGGGGCACACCAGCCCAGTGGCAAGGATGAGAAGGCAAGAAGGGACAGGAAAGCTGGTAATAGGGAACTCAAGGTCAAGAAGGGAGAGTATTGACATGTTATGGGGTTGTTAACCAATGTCATAAGAGAATATTATACTAACTGTTTAATGAGAAGCTAGTTTGTCCTGTAAACCTTCATCTAAAGAACAATTTAAAAAAGAGAGAGATGGTTGCTTCTCTGCAATAAAGTACAGATACTTCATAGGATCTGCCTCCAGATACTCCCTGAAACAGCTTCCTACCAGCTCCAGTTTGACAGCCAAATACAAGCTAGCCTTTGTATGTTTTCTTAAACTAATTTCTTTAGCTCCATACATGAATTTGAGCGTTTGGAAGGAAGGTGTATAAAAAAACCACATTTGCATGCTAACACTCAGGTTTATAGGCATTTTTTAAAAAGATAAAGATGAAAAGGGTAGATCCAACTTAAGAAGTAAGGAATAGTTTCGGTTTTTACCATAGGTGGTGCCTAAATTTAGTTCTTTTCTTGTTTCTTCTTGTTTTGCTGGTGTTTCTTGTTCATTTTTTCCAGAGTCATATTTGTTCTTTTCATAATAATTTTCAAGTGCTTTTTGTTGAGTTACAGCTGTTGTCGTGGCTGTTTTCTCCCCTCCTAGAAAAAAGTCTGTTGCTTCAAGTGCTTCCAAATCATCAGCAGAGGCAGACATGCCAAACTGGCGCTTGGATGACCTGTATAGAAAAAATCATGTCAGACTGCATAACCAAACCCCAAGACCCGAGATGTTCAACTCCCAATCAATGTTGCTGGCCCGCAGGTTCAATACGCTTCATTATTGCATCAGCTATTTTCTTAGGTTTGTAGAGGCTTTTGGACAAATATCAGAATAATATGTTTAGCATTATCAATTTTAAAAAAAGACCATGTATTTGTGTGTGATGTGTTTATACATTTATGTTTGCACATATTTATATACTTATGTATGTTGTATACATCATAGACAGAACGAAAGCTTTGGAGAGTATGAGACTCTACCAGTGGATACCTCTGGGACATGGGATTAGAGAATGGGTTGATGTTATAGAATGGAAATTTTTCATTTTTTGCTTTTATACACTTATGTGTTCTTATGAATTTTTAAAATAATGGCCATGTATTACTTTTGTAACTAAAAAAAAGACCAAACTTCACCAGAATTGTCAAGCGAATGAGCATCTCAGCCCCAAGGGTTTGGGTCAAGTCAAAGACTGGCATTGGCTGTGACTTTTCTTTAGGGACACAGTCTCCCACCTGTGGGTGGCACTGTGGAACAATCTCAACTCTGCCTTATGCCTACCTCTTGACAGGCATGACTGGTTGCAGCAGAGTGTCCCCACGGTTCAGGCCCCCACATTCATCAGTGAGCTCTGGGGGTGGGTACTGGTTCGTTTCACCTAAAAATAAAATAAGACATCAAGTTAGATGAAATAAAACTAAAAATAATATAAAACCTAAAATAAAACCAAATAAGCATAAAAATAAGACAAAAACAACATATTATTAAGACAAAATAAAATAAAATGAAGCACAAAATAAAATTTTCAAATAAAAATAAACCAAGTAAAATAAAAGCATAAAATATATCATATCACAATATTTAAATAATATAAAATAAAATCATAACATAAAAGAACATAAAAATACAACATATAAAAAATTAAAATGAAATTCAAAGACTAGAAAAGTGATTCCTTCGGCCTGCTTCTCCCTCAAAGAATCACTAAGCCATTAGCCATTCCAGTTCTCTCCACCATCCTCTGCAAAGATAAGGAAACCAAAGTTCAGAGAGGTTCACTGACTTTCCTAGGATCACACAGCTGGCTAGTGGCACAGCTAGGACTGGAATCAATTCATGACCTTTCTACCTCTCATATTCCCAAGCCACTGCCATCAAGTCCATTCTGACACATAGCGACCCTATAGGACAGAGTGCAATTGCCCCCTAGGGTTTCCAAGGAGTGGCTGGTGGATTCGAACTGCCAACCTTTTGGTTAGCAGTGAGCTCTTAACCACTGCACCACCAGGGCTCCACCTCTCAAATTAAAGACGCACAAATGCTATGTCAATACTTCTCTTCCAAGATGCCCATCAGACTCCCCTCATTCCTTCAGTGATGAAAGAGCAGATGTCCTTCAAGGGCCACAATGGGATGTCACGCACACTTATAAACTGAGAAACTAATGTCTCCCAGCAAGGAGGGCAAGGAAGCCTCACATTCACAATGAGGGACCCTGACATGAGATATTTTGGATTATGCATTGACAGAGGCAGCTCAAGACAAATTCCTGGAAAGGTGACAGGATAATATGCCCCCTACCCTGTCCCCCCTATTCAAATGATCACCATTATCATGCTAGGGAGGCAGATTTGGCTTCCAAAGAATTTGGTTTGACTAGTTCTGACTAGAGGTGAGGGTGCTAGGGCAGAGAGGTGATAAAGAAGTCTGCCCAGGACACACTGTCACAGCCCTTGCCCCGAACCTCCACTGTTACCTTCATCCATGCAACCCGTGAGGGGAGACCTTGGACCCTTGTCCTTTCTCCCTTACTTCCTGGCAAGTCCCTGAAGGCCTCTGACCTCCACACTGCCATGTGAGCATCTACTTTAAAATAAATGTTATATACCCTTGTCACTCAAAGCGAGGTTCATGGACCAACAGCATCAGCATCATTCAGGAACTTTTTAGAAATGCAGAATCACAGGCCCCACCCAGACCTAATGGATCAGAATCCAAATTTTTAACAAGATCCCTAGGGGATTCATGCTCACATTAAAGTTTGAGAAGCCCTGTCATATACCACTGGATAAATAGTAATAATACAAAAAACCAAAAAACTCATTGCTGTCGAGTCAATTCCAACTCATGGCAACCCCACATGTGCAGAGTAGAACTGCACTCCATAGGGTTTTCAGTGGATGATTTTTCATAAGTAGATATGCAGGCCTTTCTTCCGAAGCACTTCTGAGTGGTGTGAACCTCTAAACTTTGGGTTAGCAAGCAGCCAAATGCATTAACAGTTTGCACCACCCAGGGACTGCTGTGTCTTAGATTTGTACAGCATTGGTACTTTCAAGGTCCCCCCATGATCATATTGAATGTAGCCTTCACAAACAGGGAAGGCTAAGCCACATTTTGGTACATGAGAAAAATCAAGAAGTTACGTGGAAGGCAGTGACCTCTCCGCCACAAGATGAGATGTTCAGGACAAGGAACAAGGACGAGGTCTGGCAGAGTAGGGGCAATGGCAGGGCAGGCTTTTCAGGAAATGTGGGTGCTCCCTAGGCTCCCCTGAGGCTGTGGGGCTGTGCACCCCTCATCTAGGGTGGAGGTGCAATAGGCATCTGCCCAAATGCCAGGCTCTTTAAGTTCCTCTCTCCACCCCATTCATGTCACCCCCAGTTTTCTGAGGCCACCTACTGTTTAGGAGGTTGAAAAAGGCCCGTGTGAATCCCCTGGCATAGGCCATGTCCTCGTCCGAGACTCCCTCTAGGCGCAGCAGGTGCTGCTCGGAGGGGGAGCTGGCCACACTATCCAGCTCAGCCAGCTCCAGGGGCCCCACTCCCGCGCCTAAGGCCAGCACAAACAGAGCGACACCCTTGCACTTGGCTTCCAGGGACAAAGTCCTTAGCTTCTCCCGGTCCCAACTGCTGGTCTCGCTGGCAACGATGGCGAAGAGAACCCGCGCTCTCCGCGGCAGCGGGGCTGCCAGGATCACCTTCTCCAGGGTCCACTCCAGGGCGTGGCCCAGGGCGGGGGCTCCTTGCGGGGGGCGGCCCGCGGCCTCGCCCAGAAGCCGCTGCATCTGAGTCCGGTGGCCATAGGAAGTCAGGTGGAAGCTCTCGGTCACCGGAGGGT